AAATAATCTTACTTTCCTGTCGATTGTACATTAAATGCTAATATCTTGAAGGATCCTTTTTTGAGATTCCCATCTGTTTTTTTAAATATATTTTTAGTAGTAAAGGACACAATACTTTTAATTAATTAATTTATTTTTATGTGGTGCTGAGAATTGAACCCAATGCTTCACACATGTGAGACAAGCACTCTACCACTGAGCCACAACCCAGTCCCCCCATTCTATTTTTACTGAACAAGGATCTACTATTTTTCTATTCCTTTCTTAATTCTTAGTGGTTGCATGTGTGGGTTTGATTTTTTTTTTTTTTTTTTTTTGGTTCCAGGGATTGAACTCAGTGGCACTTGACCACTGAGCCACATCCCCAGCCCTATTTTGTATTTTATTTATAGATAGGGTCTTACCGAGTTGCTTAGTACCTCACTCTTGCTGAGGCTGGCTTTGAACTCACAATCCTCCTGTCTCAGCCTCCTGAGCTGCTGGGATTACAGGCATGTACCACTGTGCCCAGCAGTTGTGTGTGTTTTTAAAGAGTTTAAATTATGTTTGCCATTTTATTTTTTCCAGGTAAACTTTTGAAAAATATTGACAATTTCTGAGAAAAACCTCCTGGGACTTTTGACTGAAATCAAATTAACCCTACAAGTTAATAGGGTAATATTGCCATATTTACAATATTTTTTTCTGTCAACTTGGAACATTATTATGTCTTTCTGTTAATTCTGCTAGACTTTTAGTTTATATTTATGAGTGAGGAAAATCAGTGACCCATTAATATTTTGACTTGTTTTTTTTCAGAATTGAAATATGGTACTTGAACATTTACTCTAAAGAGATAAAATCTGAACTTTACCGGAGGCTGCATATCATTGTAGAATTTACTTCTTAGTTTCTCATTTTTAAAAATCTTTTAGAAATGCAGGAAGATTATTGTTCACAAACACATGAATTATTGTAATCAAATCCCTCCAGATCCCCAGAGTAAGGACTAAGGTGGCACAGCTGTCAGAATTATTTTCAAAAGTTTTTCGTGGTTTTATTCTTTCTTCTGGGTGAACCCTTCTTCCCACACCCAAGAGGGTCTATCTCTGCTGCCCTTTTTCATCCACCCTCCTAATCTGCTGCCTTTTAACTTCTTAGTGATGTCTCAAAACTCCAAAAATGGGGACATTTGGTCTCCTGAAGGCACACAAATGCATTTACAAGGACAGTGAGTAGTTTTTGTTTTTGTTTTTAAATCTTGAGACAGTCTCACTGAGCTGCATAGAGCCTTGATAAATTGCTCAGGCTGGCCTTGAATTTGCAGTCCTCCTGCCTCAGCCTCCTGAGCTGCTGCGATTACTGGATTACTGGCCAGCGTACCCAATTTGAATAGAATATTTGATATCAGGATGAGCTCAGAAAATCTGGAGCATGTAACCAATGTTCTCCTAATTTTTAAGGATTCATTGTTTGGGGGATTCATTTAATTTTGGGGATGGGATGGAGGAGAAGTAATAAAATGGCTCAGAAAAAAAGGGTATTAGGGCTGGGTTTGTAGCTCAGTGGTACAGTGCTTGCCTACCATGTGTGAGGCACTGGGTTCCTCAGCACCACATATAAACAAACAAACAAATAAATAAAAATAAAGGTCTATCAACAACTAAAAAATATTTTTTTAAAAAAGAATATTAAGCTGGGTATGGTGGCACACGCCTATAATCCCAGTGATTTAGGAGGCTGAGGCTGGAAGATTGCAAGTTTGAGCCAGCCTTAGCAATTTAGCAAGAACCAGTCTCAAAATAAAAAGGGCTAGGGATATGGCTCAGTGGTAGAGTGCCCCTGGCTTCAGTCCTCAGGAACTGACCCCCCCCACACCCATAGAGAAATATTTTTCTATTACAATTTCCCAAGTTACTTTAGCCTTTTAAACTCAAGCCTTAGATTCCACTCTGCACTCCCAAGCAGGTCAGCGAAGTAAAGCAGACATTTCACATTTGGAGTAATGTTCCTTATGAGACATGTTCCTTATTAAATTCAGAATCACTTAAAGGTTTCACATGGTTTTCTTGTCTGAGATCTAGGTATAAAGCCCTGGGATTTAGCGGGTCCACATTCTTAATACCTAATGTGTTCAAGAGGAATAGAAGTTCAACAGAAGGAAACAAAAGGTGCTGAATCAGTAAGAATAATCTTAAGATATTCCTGTTTAACAGGCTCTGTAAATAAAATGGTGGTGTTTTGCCGGAAAGGCCAAATACTACTGGAATAGAAGATATTTCTAAATTTAAGTTTATTGCTTTAAGTAGATCTTTGTTTTGGGTTTGCTTGTTTTCAACTTTGGATTGGTGGTGGTTGGTGGGAAGAATTAGGGATAATGTTGGGCTTATTTTCCTCACTTGGAATAAACCGACTCACCTAACTCTGTTTATGTCTTTTGCATTCAATTACTGCTTCTTTCATACCCTTCCATCCCAGAGAACTAAAGTGAACTTTTTAAAGAAGTCACTAAACATATCTCGAGGTATGTGATGGGGATGAGCAAGAACCTCATAGATCTGGCTCTTCAACAATAATAGTTTAGTGTTTACATCATAAAATATATGAACTGCCCTTGTTCCCCAGTTTTTCTGAAAGCTAATACGGTATCTCTACTATGTGGCCATGATTGATTTAAGGGGAATTCAAACTTTACTTTTGGAATACAGGATAAAACAGATCAGGGGGTGGATATGATTGGAGTTCACCAGTGCAAACCCCGAACAAGGGTCTTCAAGCAGGCCCTGGGTGGTAAGATCAGCCCAGACTTTACTGGATGCAATCTGCATTCTTGTTAATCTTTCTAGAGCTCTGAAAGAGTATGAACTGTGGACACAAGTGTGATTTTTTTTTCTTTTGAAAAATTAGAAAGGAGCTTCTCTTTATGATTGATGTATACACACACACACACACACACACACACATATATATATATATACATACATATATGTATGTATACACACAAATATTTTGCAATGCTGGGGACCAAACATAGGGTCTTCCTCATGTTAGGAAGTAATCTACCACTGAGCTATACCCCCAGCCCTCTTTCTTATATAATCTTAAGTATAAATACATAGTACAACTCCCCAATTTCGGTGTTTGGGTAGTACAGGGTAGATTGTAATTCCATAGGTAATTATAGCCTATGAGAAGACGATAACTAGAACATCTGACCTTGCAAGGTTAAGACTATAACCATAACATATCTGAATGTTGGGAGATGTTGTTGGCGATGCTGTCTGTACAGACATCAGCATGCTCTTGTCTAGTCAGATTGCGGTAGGGCAGAAAAGCAGGTAGACTGGCCTCAGGCCTCCTGTCAACAACAGCAATTCTTCACAACAGAGCAAGATATTGCTAGTTGTGACGTGGCAGCCCACACTAGGGAAAAGAAAACCGACTAAGAATAGCTGATGGAATCTTAAGCTACAGAGTGGCTGAGAGGGCCTCTGCTTTGTTTGATTTACTGGGAAAAGAATATGAAAGCTAAGATACTAGGGTTATGTCAGAATTAACTCTGCTATTATATATAGGGATAATGCACTAAAAAAAGAAAGAGAGAGAGAGACAGACAGACTAGGGTTGTAGATTCCATTCTGGCACTGATCTGCTGTGTGACTTCAGGCAGGTTAACTTGCCTTTTCTGCTTCCCTTCCCTTATCACCCAAGGAGAATGATAAAATCTGCCCTGTATACCTGAGAGAATGATTAAAAGAATCAGATGAAACTGTTAAAAGGTACTATTTCTTACATCTTTGAGACCTTCTATATTTGAAGTATTCAAGGGGAAAAAGTGCTAAAGGTTGAGGGTGTTAAGCTTGTTGAGTGAGGAGAGAATGCTCAGTGGTCAGGTTGTTGGAATACCCATTCAGGAAATAATTCTCCACTGTGTCTTAGAAAACTCACCCAGCAGAGAGTGGGAGATGATCTGTTGCATTGAGGTTGCATTGAAGCCCCTAAACATTTTTGTTAGTTGCTATTTCAATTTCGTATGTACTTTTCCTAAGTGCTTCAGAGCATCCCAGCAATTGTGCTTTACATCATCAATCTGGCATTTAATCTTGGTTGAATTAGTTGTTTATTTTGCTCATCGAATTCTTAAGTAGTTAGATAATTCAGATAGTTGCATGGGTTTTTCTACGCTCCTGACCTTTCTGTTTTCTTAGTGGCTGCTTTATCTCTGTGATTCTCTGCTGCCATCTTGATGCTTTCCTCTTTACTTGCTTCCTTTATGCCCTCAACAGCATCTCATACACAAATGTCTTCTCTTTTCACTGGAGGTCAGAAACATTTTTTTTTTAAATAGAGATGGTTTTGTTCCTTCTATTAATAGTGTTCATCTTACGCTTGGATTGCTCACAGCTCTGCTATTATTGAACAAGTGGAGTGAAAGAGAACACTAGTTCTAATTCTGCTTCTCATTGTGAAAGAAGCTGTCTCTCTTAGCTAGGCAGTTTGGAGCAGAGAAAATACTAGTTCACAGGTCTCCTAGTCTTGACTCCTTTGCTCCCAGCCCCCAAGTTGTTGCCAGAATTATCTGTGATCTAAGCAGAAATGTTACTTTATTGTCTAGGTTCCATGGGCCGAGAAGGTACACACATAGATTTGGCTTGCCCTGCAGCTCCACAAAGTTTAAAACATTTTAAATTAGGAAGAGCATTTATAATATTGGAAGATTTCTTATAAAATGCAGTATTTCAGTTTTGCATGGAAGATTGTTAGATGGTGGTACCGGGCTGCAAGAACTGGGTAGGGTTGTTCCTATTTTGATTGATTGTTGGTACTGGGGATTGAACGCAGGGACACTGGAGCTACATCCTTACTCCTTTTTGAGATAGGATCTTGTTAACTTGCTAAGGCTGGTCTTAAACTTGGTATGCTCCTGCCTCAGCCTCCCCAGTTGCTGGGATTACAGGCCCAGCTGGGTAGGGCTATTCTTGAGCTACCACTAACACCTGGGCCTTTTCATTCTCTTCCAGAAGCTAAGTAGGCACTGGTGTTTGCTCCCCCTACTCCAGAAGCAAGTTCTAACTCCTTAACAGGTCTAAGGGATCATTCAGAGGTAAGCCCTGCCCTGCCTTTGCCCCTTGCTTTCCTGCCCCTTCCCCACAGGCATTCTCCCAGTAGCTAAATAATGGCCTGCCTTGTCAAAGACAATTTTGTCATGGCACTTGTTCAATAGGGAAGACTTCATTTGAAAAAGGACTACTGCCTCAGCATTTTTCAGTAGCAGAGAAAGAGATGGGGCTTAACCCCAAATATAAGGACAAGTGGGGGTTTATGTCTAGGGATCTGTGGGTGGGGGAGAAGGAAAACTACTTCCTACTAAGAGGAAGCTTCATGAGTACAGGAGAATTCTGGCTAAACCAACCTGACAGGATTCTTGCTGAAGGCAGGCCAGGGTAAGAGGATGAGGGTGGGGATTCTCATGAAAGTGACCCAGCAGGATTCTTAACAAAACTAGACCCTACACAGACAAAAACTAAAGCTCAAAGTTAAGGCATGGAGTGTTTAGTGGAGTCTCACTAGAGTTAGGTCAAGGAGAGTCCTTGTCAGCAGTTTGAGTTTGCTTACTCATAGGGTTTATTTAATTTCTACCCAAAAGACCAATTTTGCAAACCCTCTGGAGCACTGATTAGCTACAAGGTGTGTATCTGGCCTGCCCACCATTTGTAAAATTTGCAAGTACATTACATTTTATTCTTTTGTTTATTTATTTTTGGTGCTTGGAATTGAATACCAAGCACATACCAAGCTACACCCTTGTCTCCAGGGAGTTACATCTTAGATTTTCATGGTGTATTCATCAAAAGCTTCTGAGAAGGGTGAGAAGAGAGGAGGAGGAGAGATGGGGCCTTTTCTGTGCTTAAGGTCATTTCCAAAACAAATCCGGTTCATTTGGTTACTTGCTTATGTATCTGCTGACATCCTGCTCAGCAAAGCTGAGTTGCAGCAGTAAAATTAGATTTATTTTGGTTAGGATAGCTGTTGTCAAACATTGCCCATTCTTTTCCAGAATTACAGGAAAACTGATACATCAGCCTCATTATCATACTTCTGGAAAATAAAATCCATTCAGTAACTATGGAGTAAGTTACTTTCTTGATGTTCACACTAAGTCCAAGAACTTGCAGAGGGCTGATTTTTCAGAAACCTGGGCATTTGATTTTGTAGTTTCAAAAGTTGCTGCATAGGTTGGGTTTTATCTTACTGGGGCTAACATTGGACCTGGGTTCTGTTCTTCATTGGGCAAAATTTGATTTCCCTAGGAGGAGCCAGGTTTTAAGAAGTGATGTCATCTTAGCTAAATGCATAAGGACTAATTGTCAACTAGAATATTAATTTATTGAACACCTATTGAGTGAATAGCTTTGGCTTAATCTCTGAGAAACAAAAAATGCATCATAAATATATCCATGATCTTTAGAATCTTGTCCAGAAGTGGAATAGACATGTAAATAAGTATGTTGCATGTATCGTGCTAAATGTAGCATGACCTTACAGTCTGAGGCAGTCTTGGTTTATGCCTGGAGTTCTGGCATCACTAATTAAGAAGGCTCCCTTTCACTTTCAAAGCTATCTAAAAGCTGGGTGTGGTGGTGTATTGCAGTAATCCCAGCTACTCAGGAGACTGAGGCAGGAAGATCCAAATTCAAGGCCAGATTAGGCAATTTAGGGAAATCCTGTCTCAAAATAATGGCTGAGGAGATGTAGTTCCAATGGTAGAGCACTTGACTAGCATGCATGAGGTTCAACCCCCAGTTCTACAAAACAAAAACAAGTTTCTGTGGCTAAGGGCCACAGTAACGGTTTATATTAATGTTCAGAGGATAGAAGGCAGGAAGAAACCAGCCTGCTTTCTTAGAGTATACCCTTGAGCTAGGTGATGAAAGAAATTTGAACAGCCAAGGCCTGGGAGCTTGGGGATGGGGATGGGAGTGTCATGCTCGAATTCGGGTCCCCCAAAAGACTACCAGAGACCAAGATCGATGTAAACAGCAAAGAGGTGTTTATTGCGAGCTAGCTCGGGTCCTCCGTGCACACACACCAACTGGTGACGCTGAGAGGCCCCGAGCCCAGGGTTTGCAGCAGTTTTATACTTTCTTTGGAGAAGGCAGGGACCCCCACATACATCATAACATCTCTTAGCAAATCATCACACACAACGGGAAAATCAAATAACTCTAAAACATGATTAGCACATTCACTGGCGGGAACAAGTTGGGTAAGGGTGATTGGTCAGTACAAAAGGGGTATTCATTTGAACTGATTGGTTTAAGCCAAGAGGGGTGTTCATGCTGAACTACATGGTTATCAACCACCATAAACTACTGGGAGGGTCATCTGGCATCCCAGGTATTTCCCTGTCTCATGCTGATTGGTGGTTGCTAGGGGGTTGCTATGGATCCCCACCTAGCCTGACTGAGTCAGGGACACCTGGCACAGCAGATCTATTTGTAGATAAACAATTTAGCAGGGTGGGAATGTGTCTAGGAGTGCTCTGTGGGTCTTTCCAAGGACAACAGTCAATTCTCTTCCTTGGACAGGCTTTGCTCTGAGGCAGAGGCTGGTTTTTCTGGAGAAGAGGTGCAGCCTAGAAATGTGCAAATCTCTGAGGCAGCGGGAAATTGTTCCGGAAGTGGCAATTAGTTCAAGATAGGAATTGTTTCCAAAATTGACCCTGTAACAACAATCCCTCAAGGACATTTAGTAAACTGTTCTCCAGATCCTGCCGGCAACTCAGATTTGTGTTTTTAAAGAAGCTCTCCCAGGTGATTCTTGGACATATTGAAGGTTCAGAACCAGTGGTCTGCTGACTGTGGCTAGGAAAATGGACAGGAACTGGGGGAACAGGAACAGCAAGATTAGAGGAGGATCACAGATCAGCCAGACCAGGGCTGAGCAGTGAGAAAAGCCCTCACAGGAAAGAAGCCATTGGAAACAGGCAATTTATGAAAAATGGGAGGCAAGAACTGTGTAAATCACAACAGGGCACAGAGGGGAACAGATTCTAGAACTACTCAGGAAGAAGAATGAACATAAACCTAAAGTTTGCCACATACTGATTTACATAGGTTAATATTTCCAGACAATAAAAACAAATCCAGGAACCTAAGCGACATATAATCTGAAGGTTTACTTTTGAGCATAAAACCAGAGATACAAGCAGTTGGATATATTTCATGTGGACCTTAAAAAAATGTACTTCACTTCTTTGTAGTCCCTAGAACATTCATGGTAGTTGTGTTTATCTCTGAAGAAAAGGCACTGTAACGAATGCTAAAGCATCCGGATTCCTCAGCCCACCTTTTTTCAAGATACTCCCCTCCCCTCCCCCACACTTCCACTGTTAGGACTACCTRCCAAGCCTTATCTTGTAGTTTTGCTTGTTTCATTACTGAATGTGTGACAGTCATGATTCGTCAGCAATATATGTGCCAAACCCTTTCAGGGGAGATGGCCAGTCTTTTTGCAAGTTTCACTGTGACCTTGTCCCCAAATTTTGGAGCTGCTTTCTCTGTGGGAAACTGTAGGCACTTCACAGATTCACTGCAATTCTGGGAAATGACACTAGTATAAGAAACAACCTTATCCAGGCAAGGACATCATTTGAAGCAGCTGATTCATTTGGAAGTGTGTGCACTGATGATTTTGAAGAGCAATCCCGAAATGAAATCCCTTCCATGGAAAGTGAAGAAAATCTGCTGTTTCCCTTTGCCTTCAAACATAAAGATGTTTTATTTCGAAGGCTGCTGTCACCATGCCTGTTGGCTTAACGACTGACAAACGATGTCAGAAATCAAAAATTTGAAAGTTATGAAAAGCGAGCCTCAAAAAGGAGAATGGGAAAGCCATGGGGCTGTAACATCACAGGGTAATTTTGCATCCTTTAGCCAAGACCTGGCCACTTCAGAGCGTTCACTAGTGCGGTTTGGGGAGGGGTAGGCATCTTGTCCTTGGCCACTGTTGTGTCATTGCTGAGGGACTTCCAAATCTTGGAAGTGACTGGGATGAAGATGATCAGGTTGAAATCTTCCACGCTGTCAGTATCAGGGAGGGAAAAACATCAGTCTACAGCGGTCTCGAAGTGGTTTTTTTTTTTTTTTTTTTTTTAATTAAATATGGGGCTTAACTTCTGTGCGGTCCAGTGTCATTCACGCCATGAAGTTCCAGAAGCAAAATGAAAACATAAGGGAAGGAGGAAAAGTGCAGCGTACACGAACTCAGAAAACGGATCTTCCGTGCTCCTGACGTAGACTCGTCGCCGGGGCTGCGGGGGGTCCTAGCCGCTTGGCCTGAGGTGTGGCCGGGAAGCCCCCTGACCGAAGTCCAGGCGCAACCAGCGTGGCGCCGCGGCGGGGGAATCCGGTGCGCGCGCCGCAGACTTCAAAGGCCTGGCGCCGCCGCCGCCCCCGCCCGCGCRGCGCGAGTAGTACGGTCCGAGGGGGCGGCTCCTGGGGCGCGGCTCCCGCGGCAGCTGATGCGCGCCCCGCCGGCTAGGAGGCGGGAGCCCGAGACCCCGAGACCCCGAGCCGAGGAACGCTGCGGGCCGGGCCCCTGAGGAGGCCCCAGGAGAGGCATCTTCCCGGCGAGAGGAGCCCGGCGCGGGGGCCACCCTGGCCGCAGCGAGAGGGAAGGAGGACGAGGAGGAGCGGCGCTGCCTGCCGGCTGAGAGGAAACGCTCCACCCGGGCCCCCGACGGCGCTCGTTGAACCACATCCGCGCCTCCGCTGGCAACGCTTACAGGCGCCTGTCACCGGTTCCCTCCATTTTGAAAAGGAAAAAAGGCTCTCCCCATTCCCCTACCCCTAGGAACTGGAGCCCGAGGATCCGTGCTCATGGCCTTCAGCCCTTGGCAGATCCTGTCCCCCGTGCAGTGGGCGAAATGGACGTGGTCTGCGGTGCGCGGCGGGGCCGCCGGAGAGGACGAGGCCGGAGGGCCCGAGGGCGACCCCGAGGAGGAGGACTCACAAGCCGAGACCAAATCCTTGAGTTTCAGGCAAGTACACAGGATCCCTGCCGAGATGCAAACGTGCTGCCTGCCCTCCATCCATCCTTCCATCCATCCATCTGCGGCTCGTTCTGTGTGCGTGTGTGTGGCCGCCCACCCGCATAACCATATTCATGGCAATGCTACGTCCCTGCCCGTAACCAGGTCTCCGTGGTGTATTCGAAAGTTCGGGATGTTCTGTTTTCCCGTGTGTTTTCTTTCCCCGGTTTCGCTGTGAGCTTTCTGAACCCAACGCAGAATCTGCAGTCTCTCCGCGTCCCCGTTTGCCTTGGTCACTTTCTCTAAGCTTCAATCCGCTCCCCCTCCCCCCCGCCCCCTCTCCTACACCCAGACACACACACACACATACAGGGCTAGTGTCATTGATCACTCTAGGTGGCATTTACAACCCTTCCTGTGGGGCAGAAGTCACTCCCTCCCCCTCCTGGGGCCTAATTGTGTCCCCCAAATGCAGCCATGGTAAAGAAGGTCGCGTGATGACAGGCCCTTGGCAGCTGGTGAGAAATGGTGGTCTCTGCTGAGCTGTCACCGTGTGATTGCGGAAGGCAGGTGACAGCATTCTTAATCTTGAGTCGAGTGAGTTCTAGACAGGTAGAGGCCTACCAAGGAAAAATGCATGAGTAGAATTGGCATAATTTTGTGTTGGAGACGGTATTTTTTAGGTCTCTAGGTTCCTGTAAGAGGTATCTTGTGAGAAAAGGAGTCTGTTGGAAAGCACTTTTTTCCCCGGTGTGAGAGGGAAAGATGACTTCAGAAATGCTGAGGGAGAAAAGCTTCAGAAGATGGAGATTTCAGGGAGAAAGGATGCCAGACAGAGAAATCCAAGAAGGTACTGCTTAAAAACCCACAGGCCAACCTATGGCTGAGGATCAATTGGTGGTAAAGTTAGGGGAAAAAAAGGATGAACTTTAACCTTTGTGGATATGTAAATTTTAAAGGGTGTGGAAAATACCGTTGAAAGTGGTAATTCCTCATTTTTCCCCCTTGGCAGCTCGGATTCTGAAGGTAATTTTGAGACCCCTGAAGCTGAAACTCCAATCAGATCACCCCTCAAGGAATCCTGTGATTCATCACTAGGGTTGTCTGGATCTGGGACCAAAACCCAAGGTAAAGAAAAACTTTTATTTTCTGCTGCTTTCATTTTAAAGTTTATAAAAGTATACATGAGGGGCTGGGTTGTGGCTCAGTGGTAGAGTGCTAGTACATGTGAGGCCCTGAGTTTGATCCTCAGCACCACATAAAAATAAATAAATAAAGGTATTGTGTCCAACTAAAAAATAAGTATTAAAAAAAAAGTATACATGAAAGAGTGGCAGGGGCGGAATGTTAATTTAGGACCACTTAAAAGAGTTTGGATTTTCTCCTTGCTCAAAAAGAGCTGCTTTAAAAACTCCTGGTGTATTTGGAAGTCTCTTTATTTTTGTTTTGTAAACATTTTGATCATTTGGTGATCAGAGACTTTGTTTTTTCTCCTGTCTAGAGTTTGTGCATTTATGGTATGAGATTGCTATTATCAAACATGTCTGCTGGGCCCTTCTTCACAGCCCCTAAAAAATAAAAAAATGTGTGTAGTAATACATTGCTGGACTTATATTTATATCTGGTTTCACAAATTCCTCAGGCTAAGTTGCTTTCTACTAGGGTGGTGACCAAAATTATAGATAAGAGTTGATTTTTTTTGGATAGAGAGGAATCTTAAAATTAAAAAGCTGTTTCAAAATTTTTTTCTCTCTTCCTATTCTACCTAAGAAAACCTGGCACATAGTTCTTCGGAGTCCAACCTTGAGCCTGTCCTTCATCAACAAAAGCTTCTGCTGTCCTACTTAATAGAAACCTTATTTTTTTTGTCACACATACAGTTTTACATAAAATTTCACTTATCCTAATAACATTTACTTGTTCATTTAGTAAATAGAGTGTATTGTGATTCAGCAGTGAAATCTTGCTCTCATTGAGCTAACATTTTGGAGGGAAATGACTCCTTTAACAGATAAACAAAAAAGATACATATTCAAGCAAAATCTCTCTATATGTCAGCTTGAGTTCTGTGGAAAACAATAAAGCAGGAAAAAGAGGAATAGGGAATATGGGGTGGTGAGAGGGAATGCTGAAGAGCAGTTAGGGGAAGCATGACTGATATTGTGACACGAACTGAGATCTAGAAGAGGAGGATTAAGGGAGCAAGACTTGTGAATTCCTGGGAAAAGAGCCCTGTTGGCAGAAGGAATGGCATCTATAAAGATCTCAGATAATACCAACCTGCAATAGGCTGTGTGAGGCTCTTGGGTTTGGGAAGGTTCTTGGCATGTTTGAGGACAGCCGAGGCCTGTACAGCTAAAATAGAGTGAATAGGCAGGCAACAGTGGGAACTGAAGTAAGGGAGGTAAGAGGAGATGCAGAACATACTGTAATGATGATTTTGGTTTTCTGATTGAGACGGAAAGCCACTGGAAGGTATATTAACTTCCTAGGACTGTTGTGGCTTAACTCAACAGAAATTTATTTTATCACAGTTCTGGAGCACTGAAATCAAAACTAGAAGTCTGAAACCAAGGTGTTGGCAGAGCCATACTCCCTTGGAAGGTTCTAGGAAGATTTTTTCCTTGCCAATTCTAGCTTCTGGTGGTTATTGACACTCCTTGGTATACTTTGGCTTGTGGTATACCTGACTTCACTCTGCCTTATTGCATGGGGAGGCTTTCTCCTGTGTGTCTGTGTCTGTACATGGCCTTCCTATAAGGACACCAGTTGTTGAATTTAGGGCCCACCATAACACAGTATGACCTCATCTTAATTATATCTCCAGAGTTGTTCTTTCTAAATAAGGGCACATTCACAGGGACCAGGAGTTAGAACTTTAACATTTCTTTTTGAGTGACACAATTCAGCCCACAATAGAGGGCTTTTAACAGAGTATTATGCTTTGACTTTCTTATTAAAAGGCTCCATAACTGCTGTATGGAGAAGGATGTAGGATGTAGGACAGATGTCCTTTGTATGTGCTTTCTCTATTCCAGTGTCTGACACTGTCACCTTAGAATGGTAGATACAACCAACTTCCAGTTACCTAATTTTTGAGCTGATTATGACTTCCTTGGTTCCACAGTTAATATATCTTATTACTTGATAACTTCTTTCATTGATTGCCTAGGGAAGTCAAGTCACTCTGGTTATAGAGTTTATAATGGAGTTGGAATTATTGGTAAAATGACATTAACTTTTTGTGATTTGTTTTTGCTTAAAATTAAGAGCTCCATGCTGTGTTTCTCCTACAGTACCTTCAACCTACCCTGGGCTGCATTTTGCTGTTCATCAAGGCAGGGACTTCTTGGGAACAGACAAGTTTATATATGGAAAACTTTTGTGTGGCACAAAGCTGTGTAGCACTTTCAGTGATGAGATGCCACTTATTTCTCATAGCTTCCCTTTTCTTCTCTCGAGATTTAAAAGCTTGAAAGAACTGTTTGTGGTCTTATCATCAAATTTAAATAAAGCTCATAAAACATATGTTAAGTAGCTGAAAGCTTCATTGAATTGCCCTTAGCCTGGGCAGCCCTTCCTCATCATTCTATCAGCTGCTAGACTGATTCATACTGCCAGATTCTTTGCTAGTTGAATGAAAGCCTAGATGACCTAGGCCCCCAAAGACACAGAGACCTAATTGTTTGGTCTTTCCTGTTCCAGTGATTCTCACATTCTTTCATTCTGCCTGAAAGGAAAACTTTAAAACATTTTCTTTTTAGAGAGTTGTAGATTAGGAGAGTTCTGCGGGATAGTTCATAACGAAAAACTGTAATTGTAGTGGGTGGAGGATGGTGGAGTATAGTCTAGGAAATAACCCTAATATTAAGAAGTTTCTCAATTTAAGGTCTTTAAGCAATAGGATGATGACTCTTCAGCCTGGTGGTGTCCTATCCATTAGAACTTCTTGTACACAACATCTGGAGTAGTCCAGAGTCCTGTGAATTGTCTTGTCCCACATACACAGTAAGAGTGAAAATATAGGTCAGACCAGGGAAAAGTTGAGCTAGCAAAAATGCCTTAAAAAGTCATTCATGTTGAAGTTCAATTTCTGGGACTGAGTAGTTCCCTTTTTTTTCAAAATTGTTGATTGTTTTGTATATAGTAAAATTAGTCTTTCATAGTTCCAGGACATGGCTGGATAGCAGATATAGATTATATAAGACTATATATCTTATGATTGATTTATGAGTTGGTTATCAGGAGTAGGAATTAACATTTTTATTGATCCTGGCTTCCTGATATATAATGGCCCTCAAATGTGTGGCACATGTCCCATAATTCTTTAAATGAAGTGAATATATGACATTTCTTTTTATTGGAACTATTTTAGGAACTTACAGTATCTAAATTCTATAAGATTCTCCCCTAAGACAGAATTCTTTGTCAGGAATTAAATAGTGGATAAGGTCTTGGATTTTTTTTAAATCACAAAGATAAGCTTAGTTCCAAACTAACTAGTAAAATAAAACTCTAGTCAAAGACATTTCTTGAAAATACAAGACTGGTGGCTATGAAGTCTAGGCCTACAGTTCTGGATTTTGCTGTCTGCCTTCTCCCATAAAGGATGTTTAAGCTGCTGTGTTGTATTGTCTTTCCCTTTGCAGAGGAAAATATTGTGGAGGAAAATCCTCTACAAAAGGACTTTCCAATGGTATAACTCCAAGTTGATCCCTTATTTTGTTGGGAGGTAGTGCCCATGGAGAACTTAGGGACTGTAATTTTGTCCAGTTGTTTTAGCCAACAAAAACTGTAGTAGATGTACTCTGCCAGTTGAGTTCCCACATCCCCATGCTCACATATTTATAGATGTTACTTTTCTTCCAGAAAGAGAATCTTAATGCAGGGGTTTTCATATTTCCCTTGGAACAACTAGTTAAACCTGTTAGTTTGATATGTTAACTAGATGCCTAAGTATTTCAAAGATATCCTGTGTCCTCTGGAATGGAAGGAAAGAGATAATGAGATCAATCCACTGACATTTACTGCTGGAGACCTTGTAAGGAATGCAAAGTTGTTTGTTGACACAATTTTGGTAATCTAGGCCAGAATTAGCAAGCCACGGCTGAGGGGCCAAATCTGGCCTGCCATTTGTTTTTCTCTATGACCCTCCAGTGAAGAGTGAGTTTTATATTTTTAAATGGCTGAAAAAAATATTTTGTAAGGTGTGAAAATTATATGACATTCAGATTTCGAGCCAGGCATGGTGGTGCACACCTGTAACACAATCCAGGATTCTGAGGCAGGAGGATACCAAGTTCAATTTACTGAGACCCTATCTGGAAACATAGTCCTGGTAAAGCACCTTATGTTAAATGTCCAGGACCACAAAAAAGTTAATTAAATTTTTAAAATTCATATTTCAGGACCCATAAAGTTTTATCAGAATAGTCTGTGGCAGCTTTTGAATTACAATAGCAGGATTGAATACTTGGAATGGAGACCAAATGTCTGGCATACATTTGAAATATTTTTATTTCTGGTCTTTTACAGAAAAATTTACTCAACCTATATCCATACTTAGGACAATTTCAATAAAAATGTAGTTTAAATAATCTGGAATGATGACTTCAAGAATAAAGGAAGAAAAGATGGCAAGGCTATCCCTGAGTAACAAATGACCCATGGGCACTGGGCGTTAGTGTAGTCCTTTGTGGTTAAGGAAGGTTTAAGGGAGAAACTGATTTGGACTGGTCATTTTGTCTTCTTTGCAAAATGGAAACGATGTAACTGGTCTGTCAATGTACTCTATTTTTTTTAAATTTGTTTTTTAGTTGTAGATGGATACAGTATCTTTATTTATTTTTATGTGGTGCTGAGGATCAAACCCAGTGCCTCACACATGCGATGCAAGTGCTCTACCACTGAGCCATAGCCCCAGCCCCAATGTACTCTATTTTTAAATGACTAAATGATCCATAGATATGACCTGGATCTCGATAAAACTGTTACTTTTTATTTATTTTTTTTAACTCCCAGTATTAGGAATTAAACCCACGGTGTCACACATGCAAGGCAAGCACTGAGCTACATCCCCAGCCCTTTTCATTTCATTTTGAGACAGGGTTTTGCTAAGTTGCCCAGGCTGTCTTCAAACTTTCGATGCTCCTGCCTCAGCCTCCCCAGGAGCTTGGATTATAGGGGCCACTACTATGCTTAGCTGAGGGCTAGTTTTTTATTCTAAGGCTTTGAGTTTTATGTAGAGACGAATACTATGCAAACATTTTTCATTAGGTATATTTTGAAGCGTTCCATTCAAATCTACAAGTAAGATTTCTAGGGATTTAGTTTAGCATCCTTTATCTGTTCTCAACAAGAGATTGCTTTATTAGTATTTCCTACAAATAATGGGATTAATACATTCCTTAATGTTACCTACGCCAATAGTCCAACCCATGTGGCTCCTTTGGCAGCATCCCGGGCTAATGCTTTATTTTTTTGGTGTGATTGGCTCTTTCACAGTTCACTTTGTCATACTATATGATTCTTTTTTTAAAAGTTGGGCACTATGGAAATGCCACAGTGTAATCCCAGCTACTTAGGAGGCTGAGGCAGGAGGATCACAAATAATAGTTTAGCAAGACCCTCTCAGAATAAAAAGGGCTGAAGATGTAGCTCAGTTTTATAGTACTCTGAGTTTAATTCCCAGTACTGGGGGGTGGGGGGTGATAGTTAAGGCTTGAAAACTTTAACCATTTGATTTTTTTTTCATATAATGTTTTCAAGTTGGAGATTCCAATTAGTAGTAAATTTGATGAGAGCCTTGCTTTCTTTGTTGCTTTGTTTATTTCAGTGTAAATGAGCTGTGTAGAAAGCATCTCTGCTTCTCTGTGGTACTCCACTCAAGAGAATGTCTTCTTGGGGAAAAAATTTAAGTTTTTCCAGCAAGGACTAAGAGAACCACAGAGGAACAACAATATTTGACTAAAAAGCTCCAGGGCAGGGGAGCAAAATCTACCTTCTGAAAGTAAAGATTTTAGTAACATCCAGAATCAAACCAGTTTTTCTTTTTTAAAGTGAATAATGACATTATGAACTTCTTAAGAAATATAATAATGATTAAACTTATTTCAGTATTGCACTTGTCTGTTTTGGGATTACCTGAATAACAAATATGAAGCAATACAACTTACTTTAGTAATTTCTGATGGCAGAGGCATTTTCTGCCTAGGTGTTTAGGGGGCCAGGAGGAGTCTGCAGTCCTAAAATTGTATTGCTGTCATTTAATGTCCCACCTAAAAATGAATGTGGCCTAAAGCCATTTAAAGTTAAGGAGCAGTCATAGTGTCTTCTTAAGTGGCCAGTAATACTGCCCAGAGGAAGTCCTGGGAGTATAATCATTTTGTTACAATCTCCTACACCCAGAATAGTGATGGGAGATCACAGCTTATCTACTTAAAGCAGCCATCATAGTGGGGAGTTGATAAATGAAGGTTGCTGAATGCCTGGTGACTGTTACAAAGTTGGGCCTAGAAAGGCTTTGCTTCTTGGAGGTCAGGAGCTCATCCTCACTTTTGCAGGTCCTCAAGCCTAGTTTTATGAGTTTACATAAACATAATTAGATCCCCAGGGGGTTTAGATTGATTATGGCAAATTCACAAGGGAATAATAATTATATGGAGTATTTTATTTTACTTATTTATTGTTTTGGGACAGGTTCTCACTGTATTGTCCAAGCCAACCTCAAACTCTCCATCCTCCTGCCTCGGCCTCCTGAGAAGCTGGGTAGATAGCTGTGTATCACCATGCCTGGCTTGGAGTATTTTTTAAATTCACAAATGCAAAATGTACCTTGAAAGTTCTGTTGACAGATACAAACACTCTTCCTAGCAGTCCAAGTAGCCTCTTTCTTATGTCATTGCTGGAAATATAGCAAAGGTCCCATTTTAAGATTACCATCTAGTAGACTACTAACTTTCTATTTCAGTTGTAAGTTGTTGGATGTATTGGAAGCAAATAATTTTTGCCTACAGCATCTTACTTAGTTACAGCAATGATACAATGAAATAGGGCACATGTGATTTCCACTTCACAGACTGGGCTATGAGGGCCATGATTTTTACTCCCAGTAGTGGATCTGGGTCTTGAATTCTGCTTTTATTGACATCACATCCTGGGCTCTTTGGAACATATTATACAGCTTTTCTCTCCAGAGAATACTGTGAGTCTCTCTCTTCACTATCTGAAGAGAAGGCTTAGAGGAAATAAAGGTTCTTAAAATGTTGCCAGAATATAATGTGTGACAGGGAAATCATCCTCTTTAAATGATAGTTAAAAAAAATCAGGATATACATCTTCCACATGTGTTAATTTGGCATACACGATATCTGATTTGTTTTAGGAAAATTTTGAACATCAAAAGTTTGGAATTTTGCAGCACAATTTATGTACAGATTAATAGTTAGAAACAAAAACATCACTGGGTAAGCAGTGAAGTTTCTTTTCTTTTTTTTTTTTTTTTAAGAGAGAGTGAGAGAGGGAGGGGGAGAGAGAGAGAGAGAGAGAATTTTTAATATTTATTTTTTTTTAGTTCTCGGCAGACACAACATCTTTGTTGGTACATGATGCTGAGGATTGAACCCGGGCCGCACGCATGCCAGGAGAGCGCGCTACCGCTGGAGCCATATCCCCAGCCCCGAGCAGTGAAGTTTCATTGAAAACATTTTGCTTCCTTAATGCTTAGCTTCAGCTATCAGAAGTAAAGAACAATGGACAAATTCATTAATATCTTTTGCTTTTCCTTTTCCCTTGACTTATATATGGAAGAGAAGAAGCAGGCATGTTGCAGCCTTCTGGGACTCTGCACCTGTTTGTGGGTAGAAAGAGGATGGTTGGTTTGGTTTTAGTGCTGGGGATCAAACCCAGGACGTCAAACATACTAGGCAAGTACTATACTACAGGGCTCCATTCCTAGTTCCACAAGGAATTTTTAAGGGTTCTGCATTGCTACTGTATAACTAATTATTCCAAAACTTAGCTTAAAACAGCAAACATTTATCTACCATAGTTTTAATAGGTAAGGAATTTGTCAGCAGCTTACCTGGGTGATCTAGTTCAGGTTACCTGTGAGAATGCAGTCAAGATTTTTCCCGGATATAGTCATTTGAAAACTACACTGGGGCTAGAGTATCTTCTAATCCAGGTCACTCATTTGCCTGGCCAGTTAGTGCTGGCTGTTGGTAGGAGGCTCAGTTGCTCATTATTTGATTCCTTCCACGTGGTTGCTCCATTGTCCTTACTTTATGGCAACTGGCTCCCCCAAGATTCAGTGTTTCAAGAGTAAGCAAGTTAAAAGCTGCAGTGTCTTTTGTTGACTTAGCTTCAGTAAGTGGTTCATATGCTATTTTCTTGAGATAAGTTTCCACGGTATCCTTTTGATGACATACATCAGTCTTAAGGGTGTGAATACCACAAGGTAAGACTCATTGGGGACCATCTTGAAGGCTACAAGGCCCTTTTCTGCTTTTTAAAACACTTATACCAAAGGATATAATTTCACAGACTGCAAATGTTTTCCCATTGCTTGCTTCTTTTGGGGCCTCTTCACTGCCTTCCTGAACTCTTCGTATTGCCTTGTTTTCTGGAGTGGAGGAACAGAGTGGCAGGTGAGGTGATGTAGTCCTCAGCCAGTGTCAGCCTGCTGTAGAAATATCTATGCACCCACTCTGTACTGGCTGCTATTGCTTTGTCTGGAAGCTCCTCTCTTGCTGAACATTTGTCCCTCTTTTTCTTTATCTAGCATCAGCTTCCCAGCTGTGTGGGTGGTTGCTACTTTGTGAGAGAGGCAGTTGGTATTTTGAATTCTCCAGTAATTATTTTTGAAGAGATTGCACATTATGGTTGTTTGGCAGCAACAGACTGAAGTTACACAATTTCATATCTCTGCAAAGAAGTCCCATCTGTTAACACATGCACTTTCTCCCCTTGCTCTTCCTGCTGAAATACTTTAGAGATGAAGAAGTCCTATAGAAAGAGCCCTCAGATTTTGGTATGTGGTAGATGATTTCTAATCTGTATGAAATGTAACCTCAAACAAATCCAGATGGTTCCAGAACCAGTGGGCATCTCATAAGTGAGAAGACATTAATACACTTAGGCTTCCTGGGAGACAGACACTTTCTAACAGGCCCCACCCTCTGACTATATAATTCTGGCCTTCAGAGGATAGAGTTTTGAGTCTCTTTATTTTATTTAGTTGGCGTTGAGAGTTGAACTCTGGGCCTTGTGAATGATAAGCACGTGCTCTACCATTAAGCTATCAATTCCTCAGTTTCTTTTCAAATTTAACCGCATAAGGTGCTATTTTTGGAAAATTTAAGTGTTTTTTTTTTTCATCCTTAGCACAACCTTTTTCATCTTATCAAGTGGATTTCTAGACTATTCTTTACCTACAAGTTAAGTTTTAGGTCTTAGAATGAATCTCTCCCTGGAATTAGGAGCTTATCTCAGGAAAACAACATAGCAGCTGATGCCCTATCTCAGAAAACTCAAGAAAAAGTTGATAAACTTGCCCTCCCTCAGCACCTGGGCAATTTTTTTTTTTTTTTTTTAGAGGGTTGGAATGAAGAGGTTTGAATAGTTAGTTGTCTTGGTTCAATCAGAGTATGTGTGGTGGGTGTTCTGCTTTGGGTGGTTAGACAGCTTCAATTACAGCATGGCTAAGAGGATGTCCTGCCTTGACTAATTGACTTGGTACTCTTGTCCCCGACTCCATGCTTCTGAGTGGCCTGGGGTCCCAGTGGTTAAAAGGCCTTCTCATATAGTTAGTCAGATTAGTCTGTGGACAATACATTGTATCTACTTCTTCCATTTTAAGGCTGACAGCCTTGGCTAAGTGACTGAGAATACAGATACACAAAATACATTTCAACTTCAAGGGAATCAGAGGGACTGGAAACTCAAAGACATGAAACTGGGGGGAACTCAAATTTTGGACTCTTGCCTAAATGCTAATGGGTATCTTATTAACAGTCTTCTCAGATCAAACTACTTGAGCAGAAGCGGGTGGGGCCTGCTAGAATCAACTTGTTTTCTCTCCTGCAGCTCTTGATTCAGCATGGGAAAGGGTGGGCAGGAGGGCAAGACTAAGGCTGCATGGGACCTTCATAGGGCCTACAAAAGCAAAAGGTCATCAAATGAAGAACAACAAATGTTAATCCTATACACAGCTATTGATATAGAGCTGAGCAGCTTCATCACTCAGTACTTATATAGGTTTTTTCTGTATAAAAAAGATAATTAAGTAAGAAGGATATACCCCTTTATGTATCAGTTGTTTGCTTCACAGTGGACCCTGATTGAGCATCAACTCTGGTATACTCGGTTTCTGTTTGGGGAATGCAAAAGGGGAGATAGGGAATAAGTCCCTTATGGATTTCAGGGTCTAGAAGAAGCTAGGTGGGTTCCTTTTCCCATTCCTCTTGACTTTCCAAGAAGTTTTAACAGTGAAAAACGGAATGTGTGAGGGAGGACTTGAAAGAAGTCAGTTGTCTTCCTACCCCCAAAATAAAACAAAAACTAAAGATTTTGGATCTTGACAATTGTTATATTTCTAGGGTGTTTCATATGCTTGGTTATATCTGTTGTAGAAGAGGGGTGATGTCATTTTTTTCTACCTCTTTCTGTAAATAGAACTTATCTAGCACACTGTAGACTTCCTCAAGAGAAATTCAAAATCCAAATGGATGTGATAGTGAGATCTGTTACCTCTTTCAAGTATGTGTCCCTAAAAATGATACACAGAAGAGGACTCCTTAAAGCATTTTCTGAAATGTTAAGTCTGTGGTATAGAAGAATGCTATATTAGGAATCACAGGACACTGCTCTGATCTTTTACTGTAGGGTCTGAGCCTCCATTTTGTTTTTGTTTTAACCAGTTTTATAGAGTTCACATGTCATACATTTCACTTGTTTAAAAGGTGCACAGTTAAGTGGTTTTAGTATCTACACAGAGTTGTGCAAGTATCACCCCAGTCTAATTTTTATAATGTTTTATCACTCCCAAAAGAAGCCCTGTACCCATTATACTTATAGGCAGTCATATACTATTTCTCTCCCATTCCACCCCACACTTCTAGGATAATCTGTTTTGTGTCTCAAGAGATTTGTTTATTCTGGACATTTCATATAACTAGAATCATACATTATGTGCAACTTCATCCATTCTACCAACTAAGCTATATCCCCAGCCCTTTACAGTACTTTTTTCGACTATATTATAGCAAGCACCTCATTTCTCATTATTATTGCTGAATATTATTTATTTAATGATAGTTATTCTAGTAGATATGAAGTGGTATCTCATTGTGAGTTTGATTTGCATTTTCCTGATGGCTAATGATGTTGAACATATTTATTTGTTTTTGTGATACTCGGAATTGAACCCACACCCTTGTACATGCTAATAAGCAAGCATTCTACCACTGAGACACATTCTCAGCCCTGGATTTTTTTTTTTTTTTGGCCCCAAACAATGGACATAGTGACAGTATTTTATTCATGCAGCATCCTGATTTTACCCAACATGCTCCCATGGAATTGTTTTTCTATGTGTTTCCCCACAACCCATGGTCCCATGGTAGACACTGACCCCAGGCTTCTTCTGGATGTTCAGAACACCCTGGCACAGCCCTTGTCTCAGGGACATGACCAGGGCATGGCCAGAAAGTCCCTTGGTGGAGATCCGAAATACAAACTGAGAGAGAGATTCTCTTCAGTGATGTGCATGAGGACTTGAGTGGGGACCTTTCCTGCCTGATGGAAAGAGCTGTCCTGGAATGGTGTGGACACAATGGTGCATCCATCCTTCCCTTTGGTTAGCCCTGGATGGTCTTATGTATTCTCTAGAGAAATCCCTATTCAGAGTCTTCACTTTTTAATTGGGTCATTTATCTTTTTAATATTCAGTTGTAAGAATACTTTGTTTTCTAGATACAAATCTCTTATCAGATATTTGATTGTAAATATTTCTCCCAGTCTTTAGGTTATCTTTTCACTTTCTTGATGGTAGTATTTGAAGTGCAAAAGTTTTTAATATTGATGAAGCCCAATTTTTTTGTTTTTTGTTTTTTGTGGCTTAGGTGTCAAATTTAAGAAGATTTTGACTAATTCACAGTCACAAAGATTTACTCCTATTCTTTTTTTTTCTTCTTACAGTTTTATAGTTTGAGCACATTTAGTTCTGTGATCCATTTTGAGTTAATTTTGTATTTAGGTAAGAAAGTAGTTCAGCTTCGTTCTTCTGTATATAGAAATCCAGTTGTCCCAGAACCATTTGTTGAAACTTGTCCTCATTGAATTAACTTTGCTCCCTTGTCAAAAATCAATTGACCAGGGGCAATTGGGGATATAGCTTAGTTGGTAGAGTGCTTGCCTCACATGTACAAGGCCCTGGGTTCAATCCCCAGCACCACAAAACAACAACAACAACAAACAATTGACCATAGTTTTAAGGGTTGATTTCTAAACTCTGAATTCTCTTTGGTTTACCTATGACTCTCATTGCTGGTACCATACTATCTCAACTAGCTTTTTAGTAAGTTTTGGAATCAGGAAGTATGTATCCTCAAACTTTGTTCTTTTTGTTTGTTTGTTTCCCCAAGATTGCTTTAGCTATTGTATTTTGTTGTAACTATTAGATCAATTTGTTAATTTTTGCAATTAAGCCAGCAGGAATTTTGATAGGGAATTATTTTAATCTATAGATAAATTTGAGAAGTAGTGCCATTTTAACACTATTACGTTTTAACAATCCACAAACATGGGATGTCTTTTCTATTCATTTATGTTTTAATTTCTTCAAACAATGTTTCATAGCTTTTAGACACAATTTTTGTTAAATATATTCCTAAGTATTCTTTTTAATGTTATTATAAATGAAATTTCTTTTTAAAATTTTTCTTTATGGATATATAGATACACAACTAATTTTCACATATTGAACTTATATCCTGCAGCCTTGGATTCATTTACTATTTAGGTTTTATTTGGTAGATTTCTTAGGAATGCTTCTACAAGATTATGTCATCAGAAAATAGAGACAGATTTACTTTCTTTGTGATTATGAGACCTTTTATTATATCTTTTTCTTGCCTAATTGCCTTGGCAAGAACTTCTGGGACTTTTAAAAGTAGAAGTGCAAGGGCTAACATTCTTATCCTGTTCTTGACCTTAGAGTGAAAATATTCAGTCTTTTACCATTAAGTGTCATATTAGTGGTGGGGTTTTCATAGATGTCCTTTATCAAGTTGAGGAAGTTCTCTTCTATTCCTAGTTTGTTAAGTGTTTTTATCATGAAAAGGTGTTGGATTTGTCAAATGCTTTTATGTGTATTTGATAGGATCATGTGGGTTTTGTCCACTATTCTATTGACAGGGTATAGTACATTAATTGATTTTCAGATGGTAAGCCAACCTTGCATTCCTGTGATAATATCATCTTTTCTGTGTGCCTCTGTATTTGGTTAGTATTTTGTGGAGGAATTTTTCATCAATATTCAGCAAGAAATAATTAATTGATCTATAGTTTTTTTGTCGTTTTGTTGCCATTGTTTTCTTTGTGATGTCCCTTTTTGTTTTGTCG